CAGCTGGAGCATTTGCGGGGCGCCTGTCTGAGCAAATGCATGCATGTGTGCTTGCGAATGCCTTGAGGTTATATGATTTTTTGCCTGCCAACGCAAGATATTTTCAGTGCCTGCTGGATGAAGACCTGATTCATCACATTAAGCACCTTTGCTTTATATATATACACATGTTTTTATGCCATGGTCCATGGTGTTAACTTGAGCCAAGGCGGATCGTTATCCATTGTCATCCGACAACTGTGAGCCAGCGATCTTTGCAGCACTATTGCTGCGTTGTTTGCATCCGATGGTGTGGCGCTGCCCCGTGAGAAAAAAGCTTGCCGAGTTACCAGCGCAGCCAAAGTAGCAACCGGTTTTCAAAGGCAAAACCAGCTATATTGTTCTCAATTGTAAGGCTACTCACTGTTCTCATTCGTTTTGAAACATGAACTTATCACATGTAGAACACACATGCCAGCTCTCCTGCAGAAGCTGAAGTACAGAAGCAGCCTAGTTCCGGAACTAGGCTGCACCATGGCCAGCACTGTTGGGTGACCCTTGTGGTCTCCGGTCACAAAGGTCGGTCCTTGTGGCTGGTTACCCTGTATTGGCTTGTGACACACGATGCCCCGGCACATACTGCGGCAGATGGGTGCGCGACGTGCTGTAAAACGCAGCAAATACTACACATATCATTGGGCGCGTGCATTTCTTCGCAGATAATGACTGCGCTTTTGTTTGGCATCTTCATGTCAGCATGATGTGAATAGTCGCACGTCGGGCATCGTTTTTACAAACATCGCGCGCGCGACTTGAAAATCACGGGCAAGCCCCCCCTGGCCGTCAAAAGCTGCCAGCTGGTAAGCACACCTGCCAAAAGCTGCCAACTGGTCCACCAACTGCTAAGCACACCCGTTCAAAGGCACCCGCTCAGAACTGTATCCAAGCCCACCAACTGGTAAGCACACCCGCTCAAGTGCACCCGCTTAAAACTAACTTACAACTGTGTCCAAGCCCACCAAATGGTACGCACACCCGTTCAAGTGCGCCCGCTCAGAACTGTATCCAAGCCCACCAACTGGTAAGCACACCCGTTGAAGTGCACCTCCTCGGAACTGTGGCCCACCAACTGGTAAGCACACCCGTTCAAGAGCACTCGCTCGGAACTGTATCCAAGCCCACCAACTGGCAAACACACCCGTTCAAGTGCATCCGCTCAGAACTGTTTCCAAGCCCAACTGGTAAGCACACCCGTTCAAGTGCACCCACTCAGAACTGTATCCAAGCCCACCAACTGGTAAGCACACCCGCTCAAGTGCACCCGAACTGGTGAGCACACCCCTTCGAATTGTATCCAACTGGTACGCGCACCCGCTCAAGTGCACCTGCTCAGAGCTGTATCCAAGCCCACCAACTGGTAAGCACACCCGCTCAAGTGCACCCGCTGAGAACTGTATCCAAGCCTACTGAGGTAAGCACACCCGTTCAAGTGCACCCGCTCAGAACTGAATCCAAGCCCACCAACTGGCAAACACACCCGTTCAAGTGCATCCGCTCAGAGCTGTATCCAAGCCCACAAACTGGCAAACACACCCGTTCAAGTGCATCCGCTCAGAACTGTATCCAAGCCCACAAACTGGTAAGCGCACCCGTTCAAGTGCACCCGCTCAGAACTGTATCCAAGCTCACCAACTGGTAAGCGCACCCGTTCAAGTGCACCCGCTCAGAACTGTATCCAAGCCCACCAACTGGTAAGCACACCCGTTCAAGTGTACCCGCTATCCAAGCCCACCAACTGGTAAGCACACCCATTCAAGTGCGCCCGCTCAGACTTGTATCCAATCCCACCGACTGACCGCTCAGAAGTCAGTGTGTTGTTGAGATGTTTGTGTCAAGCCTGGCCTTGACCGGAAACATTGCCGGCTTGGGGTTGGTTTTAGTTTGCGAGAACACAGCTGTGTGGAAAAGTGGTTTTGGTGGCCAAGCAACACGTTTTCCATGGGTGGGAACCACGCAGTGTTTATGACTTGATCGGTGACATTGTTCTTCGGGCAAACCCTCCCCGGCCGTTTCGCATTGTGTTTTCCCGGGCAACCCCCCCCCCCGTCCAACCTTGTTGTTGTTGTTGTTGTCGTCGTTGTTGTTGTTGTTGTGGTTGTTGGTTGTTGGTTGTTGGTTGTTGGTTGTTGGTTGTTGTTGTTGGTTGTTGTTGTTGGTTGTTGTTGTTGGTTGGTTGGTTGGTTGGTTGGTTGGCTGGCTGCCTGGCTGGCTGGCTGGCTGGCTGGCTGGCTGGCTGGCTGGTTGGTTGTTTGTTTGTTTGTTGGTTGTTGTTGTTGTTGTTGTTGTTGTTGTTGTTGTTGTTGTTGTTGTTGTTGTTGTTGTTGTTGTTGTTGTTGTTGTTGTTGTTGTTCTTGTTGTTGCTCTTGATGTTTTTGTGGTTGTGCTTGTGCTTGTGCTTGTACTTATACTTGTTGTTGTTGTTGTTGTTGTTGTTGTTGTTGTTGTTGTTGTTGTTGTTGTTGTTGTTGTTGTTGTTGTTGTTGTTGTTGTTGTTGTTGTCGTTGTCGTTGTCGTTGTCGTTGTCGTTGTCGCTGTCGCTGTTGTTGTCGTTGTCGTTGTCGTTGTCGTTGTCGTTGTCGTTGTCGTTGTCGTTGTCGTCGTTGTGTCGTTGTGTGTTGTGTTGTTGTTGTGTTGTTGTTGTTGTTGTTGTTGTTGTTGTTGTGTTGTTGTTCGTTGTGGTTGTTGTGTTGTTGTTGTGTGTTGTTGTTGTGGTTGTTGTTGTTGTTGTGGTTGTTTGTTGTTGGTTGTTGTTGTTGTTGTTGTTGGTTGTTGGTTGTTGGTTGTTGGTTGTTGGTTGTTGGTTGTTGGTTGTTGGTTGTTGGTTGTTGGTTGTTGGTTGTTGGTTTGTTGGCTGTTTGTTGGTTGTTGGTTGTTGGTTGTTGGTTGTTGGTTGTTGGTTGTTGGTTGTTGGTTGTTGGTTGTTGGTTGTTGGTTGTTGGTTGTTGGTTGTTGGTGGTTGGTGGTTGGTGGTTGGTGGTTGGTGGTTGGTGGTTGGTGGTTGGTGGTTGGTGGTTTGGTTGTTGGTTGTTGGTTGTTGGTTGTTGGTTGTTGGTTGTTGGTTGTTGTTGTTGTGTTGTTGTGGTTGTTGCTGCTGCTGCTGCTGCTGTTGTTGTTGTTGTTGTTGTTGTTGTTGTTGTTGTTGTTGTTGTTGTTCTTGTTCTTGTTCTTGTTCTTGTTCTTGTTCTTGTTCTTGTTCTTGTTCTTGTTCTTGTTCTTGTTCTTGTTCTTGTTGTGGTCGTCGGTCGTCGTCGTGGTTGTCGTTGTTGTTGTCGTGGTTGTTGTTGTTGTTGCTGCTGCTGCTGCTGTTGTGCTGCTGCTGCTGCTGCTGCTGCTGTTGTTGTTGTTGGCTCAACAGGCGGGGGGGTTTGCCCGGGATTTCAGCAGCGCAACATACTGTAAAATTTAGCACGTCGGACATGCGACTTCCAATTCCTCTCATTTTTACCAGGACATTTGGCTGTCGGCAGAGCCGAAACTATACCTGTGTTCGTTGTCTTGTCATCAGTGCATTGCAGCCTTGTGACACACGATGCCCCGGCACATACTGCGGCAGATGGGTGCGCGACGTGCTGTAAAACGCAGCAAATACTACACATATCATTGGGCGCGTGCATTTCTTCGCAGATAATGACTGCGCTTTTGTTTGGCATCTTCATGTCAGCATGATGGTATTAGTCGCACGTCGGGCATCGTTTTACAGACATCGCGCGCGCGTGGCCGTTTTGTTGCAAAAGCTGCCAGCTGGTAAGCACACCTGCCAAAAGCTGCCAACTGGTAAGCACACCCGTTCAAGTGCACCCGCGTAGAACTGTATCCAAGCCCACCAACTGGAAAGCACACCCGTTCAAGTGCACCTGCTCAGAACTGTATCCAAGCCAGTTCAACTGGTAAGCACACCTGTTCAAGTGCACCCGCTCAGAACTGTATCCACTGCATCCAAGCCCACCAACTGGTAAGCGCACCCGTTCAAGTGCACCTGCTCAGAACTGTGTCCAAGCCCACCAACTGGTAACTGGTACGCACACCCGTTCAAGTGCACCCGCTAAGAACTGTATCCAAGCCCATCAACTGGTAAGCGCACCCGCTCAAGTGCACCTGCTCAGAACCCACCAACTGGTAAGCACACCCGTTCAAGTGCACCCGCTCAGAACTGTATCCACTGTATCCAAGCCCACCAACTGGTAAGCGCACCCGCTGTATTTAAGCCCATCAACTGGCAAGCGCGCCCGCGCAGAACTGTATCCAAGCCCATTAACTGGTAAGCGCACTCGCTTCAAGTGCACCCGCTCAGAACTGTATCCAAGCACAGCTGTGTGGGGCAAAAAGGTTTTGGTGGCCAAACAACACGTTTTCCATGGGTGGGAACCACGCAGTGTTTATGACTTGATCGGTGACATTGTTCTTCGGGCAAACCCTCCCCGGCCGTTTCGCATTGTTTTCCCGGGCAACCCCCCCCCCCCCCCGTCCACCCTTGTTGTTGTTGTTGTTGTTGTTGTTGTTGTTGTTGTTGTTGTTGTTGTTGTTGTTGTTGTTGTTGTTGTTGTTGTTGTTGTTGTTGTTGTTGTTGTTGTTGTTGTTGTTGTTGTTGTTGTTGTTGTTGTTGTTGTTGTTGTTGTTGTTGTTGTTGTTGTTGTTGTTGTTGTTGTTGTTGTTGTTGTTGTTGTTGTTGTTGTTGTGGTTGTGGTTGTGGTTGTTGTTGTTGTTGATGATGATGATGATGATGATGTTGTTGTTGTTGCGGTCGTCGTCGTCGTCGTCGTCGTCGTCGTCGTCGTGGTCTTTGTCGTGGTAGTTGTCGTTGTTTTTGTCGTGGTCGTGGTCGTCGTCGTCCTCGTCCTCGTCCTCGTCCTCGTGGTTGTCGTGGTTGGTGTGCTTGTGGGTGGTGGTTGGTGGTTGGTGGTTGGTGTGCTTGGTCTGGTACCGACAAGGGATCCTCTTGTGCTGATGCGCTGCGCTCACAGGCGCTGCCGTTGCCACAGATCGCCAGCGCCCCGCAAATCCCGCAGATGCCGATGCCGCAGCTGCGCAGCGGCCCGAAGGGCCGCCAGGCGCTCAGCTGGCGCTCGGCTGGTGGGCATGCCGGAAGCTCGCTCCGGTGCAGTGAAGTGGAGAGAACAGTGCGGGTTGAAGAAATAGATGTTGTGCAAGGTCCTTATGTCTATGGTGGTGTTTGATGGTTTTTGGGCAGCCGCTTATCTGAGGTGACGAAAACACTGAGGGAGTTGTGCGACCTAATGTTAACACCGTACTAGTCTGTACCCGCCCCCCCCCCAAAGGTCAGAGGGTTTTGGCAAGATTTTGGAAGGTTTTTTGCCTTGACCCCCGAATAGTCTGGAAGCTGACATTAGGCTCATCAGGCTGGTTAGGCAGACATGGTCCAGCAATGGCATCTGAATGGCAGTTTTTTTGGCCCAGCGCTGAGCATAGCTTAATGTTTACATCGTATTTGTACTCCCCTCCCTAGTAATTCGGTCTGGGTGCCCGCCTCCAACACTTACCAATTCATAACTGAGAAATTCCCCTCAATAACCCCCCGTTTGTAAAAACCGGTCCACCCCTGAGTGGCTGCTGCTATCCGGGATTTTGAGCGGGAAGTAGGCTTGCGATTCATTTGGGCCCCTATGATGAAGGAATCTTTTGCACAGGGTTCCCTTCTGATGGGTTGTGAATTATTGTGATTCACTCAGCAAGAAAGAAGTTGGGTGACTCCAAACGTTGGGCACTGGGAGCAGCCGGTTTTTGGCGTGGAGTTTAACAACATTGAAATTGGTTTCGCAAGCACCCCCAAAAAAAAAAAACCACAGAACTCTCGTTTTGCGCGTCCAGTCCAGTGCGTTCCTTCTATCTCACCTGAAAAGTCTGGTTGTTTGCAAACCATGTTTCTTACCATTTTGTTCATTGGCACGGGATGGGCTGCATTATTCGAAAAATATCTTTCGCATCGCGGAGGTGCAGGATGGCTCAAGGAGTGCAGAGATGCTCCCCCCTTCTACCCCACGTTTTCCAATGCAGCCCAGATGTCAACGCATCAGCCTGCGGAACAAACCCAACGGCTCAGGCAGCCGCTCGCCCACGGAGCGGCCCCAGAAGCGCCGGGGGCCCAGAAGCCCTGCCAAATTTTGGTTGAGGGGGTTCGATCTTGGGACCCAAACCAAATGGAGAAGCTGACGATTTGATTTTGCCCACTCCACTTTTGGGAGTTGATCTTTTTGTCCAAAGCAGGCAGGCGTTTAGGTTCATGCTTGTTCGCCGAGAAAGCGGCGGCTCGAACCTCGAGGCATCGGGTTCTTTAGAGTGTTGTCAAAATTTCCGGTGGAAATCCCATTCAGCCACCATGAACAAGGCAATTTCGAGGATGTCCTAGAACAAAATGGGACCCACACCTTTTCTTCACCTCAACCCACGCGGCCCGAAACAGGCCTCAGCCGCACGGAATCCCAGCCGCAGAAGACCCGGCGGGAGGTCGACATCTCCATTTCAGGACCCAGGGCTCGTCCGATGTCCGGAAGGAACTTCCGTGGAAGACTTGGCCTCAGGAGCAATTTCTGTGAGTCCAAGAAAATCCGCCAAGTGATAGAGAAGTGGGGAGGCGTTGGTATCGCTCGCAAACATGGTTCCGAATGTCGACCCTGGATTCATCAAGTTGCCTAGAAAATGGGTTTCTCCGCAGCCTCAGCAAAATCAACCAGGGGCTTAATTTCATGAAACTCCTATCCCGAAATGGATGCTATCAGCCGTCCTGTCAAGAAGGGGAACTGGTTCTGCAAGAAACAGTTAGTCGGTATGGTCTGATTTGGGCTTCTGTTGCTTTTGGACATATTTCTGGACCTTAGCAGAGGTTTGTAAGCAGTTTTCCAGAGTTTTCCCTTCCTTTTGCCAAAGAGAGTTTGGTCCTGGCGGCTGGCAGGAATTGCAGCCTCACCCCCGCGGTGAGATGCAGAACCTGTGATGGGGTGTGGGCCAGCCCCGAGTCGACGTGCGAGCAGACCAAAGCAAGCAAGTCTCTTAAAGCCCCCCCCTTTCCAGAGCGGCGTTCTTGGCCCCAAGCCAAACCCAGGGCAGGGCGGAATTGTCCATGCCGGGTCCTCAGACCCGGGATCGTTTTTGAACAGCAGCCAACATCTTCAGTTTGCATATGGGTTCGCCTTTAAGGGAGATCCCAAGATGAGCAGTTTCCCTTTGGTTTCCTTCCATGCAGCCCACAAATGGGTTCCGCGAAAAAAGACACACCCACAGTGGACTTGAGCCAAACATATTATTTTGGGTTGGCGGCTGGAGTAGGGCACAGCTAAGGTAGCGACTTACGTGGACTCGAGTTAGCTAGGTGTTCAGCAAGTACGCGCGACAGACTCCTCGGCATTGTTGCCAAATTTGTAACCAGATCCTAGTGCCCTAGTGCAGACGAGAGGGTTGTTCACAAGCCCCGGATTCGTTTGGAAGGGGCTGCAACCATGCCCTTCCTTCGTCAAAGCGAGGGCCCTGAGGAAGTTCCACGGGACCTGCTACTGAAAACCTAGGATGAATGACCCTTGCGGCGTTTTTCATTGGGGGATGCAACTTGGATCTAGACAACATTTGGTGGGAACACCCGGCTTATCTGGCAGGTTCGGCTGGAACGCGAATTTGACACCATGACTTAGCCAGTGAAGTTGTTTGATCACAGGAGCCTGGCCCAGACCCAGAATGCATTCCGGCCGGCTGCAAAGCGCACATGGAGCCACCAAAGGCAGGTTCCACGAATGGGGGAGCTCAGTTGCCCACTTGTTTCTTTTTTGTTGTTTGAAGGCAATATTATTTCCTGTTGGGTTTGCAGGAGTCCTGTTTGTGGCGGTTTGCTAGAACGGATTATGGAGCATCGGGCAACCCGTAATTTTGAACTGGCCACTACCACCAAGGGACTTCTTCAGCGACTCAAAGTCATTGGCTGCGATGGCCCCCGTTGGTGTCACAACGGGCAACAATTTTTGGCAACCCAGTAAATACACCAACCAACATCTCACGCTTACTCTTTGGTGAACAGCTGCGGACGCTGTCAGGCTGTTGTGTTCTTAACATTGCGAATGGCACGCCGGATGCGTGTTTTGTGCACTATGTTCACAGAAAGCGAAGCCGGTGGTTCCAAGAAGTGTTCGGCCCTTTGATCGCGGCGTCGAAGACGCTTGCGGTCCATGGAACGAGAGGGGTGGATCGGCGGATCACTCCTGTGTCGAGTCGCATGATGGTGCGCTCATCTTTTGTCTCACCGGTCAGCAAAAACGAGAAAAGGACATCACGGCCTCGCGGATGCGGCACATGCCCGTGGTCTAGTTCTTTTAGAGGGGGGCTAAATTGAGTCATGTCTCCAAACGGTTGTAGAACCTTTGATTTCCCAGGAAGCTCATGCATGGCGCTTTTTGAATGATCAAATAATGTGTTTTTTGTTCTTCTTTTTTTTCCATATGAACGTTTTATTGTCCCCAGATGAACATGCAAAACGATTGTTGTTCCTAATTGGTTGGATTGATGGGATGCTCGCTTCTTTGTCGAAATCATACCTGCTTGGCGACTAGCCTTTGACATAGAGCACGAATTCTTCATGGATTCGTAGAGACCTGCCTTTGGTAGAAATATCGTAGTTGACTCTCAAAGAGTCACTTCTAGCATCGTGAAGTGGGCGTTTCCAAACATGGAGGGCCTTAAACATGATTGGTTTCCTCCTTCAAAAAGGAGCGGGGGGCTGATTGTTGGAAGCGCCCAGGTGCATGCAAATTTGGTTTTACGACCACTTTAAAGGGACTTAGTTTGCACGACCATGCCCAAGTATTGACTTCGGCCCATCACATTCGGCTTGCTGAGTGAACTGCTGTTGGCTCTACTTGTAGCAGTGTACCTGCACGTCAGAAACCCAACGCCGGTGATGGAAGACTTGAGATGCCACAGGTTTCAGCTTCACCTTTTCCGCACTCTCCTGAAACATGTGTCTTTTTAAGGTTGACAAAACATGAACCACCATCTGAACATATTATTTCCTGTGTAACCCAGATGTGGGCCAAGCTTCGGTTGCCAACTTAAAGTGAGTTCCCCGATGTTCACTCCGAAATCTCGCCGGAACCCTTACGGTTCACGTCCACAGCGCGAAAGGGCGCCTCGCGCCTTGCGCCTAATTTGCCATGGTGTGCTGCTGGCCCCAGTTGGTCGATGGGAAACGAGGGAGTGCCATGGACGGGAGAGCCCTCAAAGCAACAAACGAATCGATTCGGAGTTTTGACCGTGGCTGAATATGGGCGTCTGCGCTTTGAAGGTACCCTTATCCGCTTGGTTTAAAGGCTAGCCAATATGAAAAACCCTCATTCTTGGTCCCCCGATTTTTGACAAACCAGATGGCGACTGGAAAACGGCCAGGTGGGGCGCGGACAAGCCCTTCTTGACGAAGCTGGCCATCCGGAGGTGGCAGGCGCTCTTCAATAACCTTCGGCTGGACACGACGGGAAGCACAGGGCTCCCAATATTTTCCTCGGTGTTGAAGCATCTCCTTGCATTGGAATTTGGACCCAGGGAGGTTTTCCCTCAATCAAGAGGGGTGATTATTTGACCTGGGTTCCCTGTAGTGGGGTGAATGGGATATAGAGGCATTATATAAACGAAATGTATTATCTTGAATTCACAAGGATCTGAAAGATAGACACTTTCTCCTTGGCACATGCCGAATTTTGGAGACGATAAAAAAAGCAAAGATGTCCAAACGACGGATACGAATAATGGAGCTTCAGAAACTAGAAGACTCAATTATTGATTAGACTTCACAAAAATTTGGTTATTTGTCTTAATTAATATCTAGACCAAAAAAAATAGATAATAATGTAAGAAGTGACGTTAATTCCTGTCCAGCAATAAATAGTGCACCCGATAAAGGCTGTAAAGGCAAGTAGACGTACGATATGTGCAGGGATTAAAAAGATATACAATACATTATAAATAACACACCATGCATTTGATGTAACTTCTAAATGTCATGATTTCCGAGATGCCACTAGACAGAGATAATAAAATTTTCGGACATCTTAATCATATTGTTCCTTTCATGCTCTTGTCTGCACGTATCTTATCTCATTCAGTAATCCGTGTTTGTTAGATAGCGGTTACAAGCTTCGCCAACAGAGAACCAGAAAAGAAGACAAGCAACAAACGACAATAAACAAGCATAATCATAAGGAACATAGCACCAAGGAAAAACACAATGATAGAATAGAGGAAAGACATGTAGGCAAATCGCGACCTCAGTGAATTGCTAGAATTCACCCTGATTTCAAACAGGCAACCCTGGTATCCGCTTTTGTGCGGCTTCCAGTCTTCCCATGGGTCGGCCCCCCTGTCAGTTGCACTTGGTCTAGCAAATACAGAGGACACATTTTTAGAAAAGCAGAAACAAACACAAAAACTCGAGGACAACCAAACAGAAGCAAACGCAACTCGAGACACCCATGTCGAAAGAGTTCTGGACACATGTTTTTTGTTGTTTCCTCGAACTTTTTTGTTTGTTTGTTTCTTTCTCGAGGTTGTGTTGGTGTTCTGTGGCTATGATGGGTCTACTTCTGTTCCCGTGTTTTTTGTTGTTGTTGTCTAGGCAAATTGGAAGACATTGCCAGCTTGTTTCTGCTTCCGTATTAGATTCTATTTAATGTCCGATTGAATTCTACTTAAAGTCCTGCTTGCAAAGGAATTCGAATTTCAATTCAAACTTAAAATATGAGCTCTAATTGATTCCGGTTAAGCGTCCAATTAAGCGTTAGAAGCCTATATAAACTAACTAGAAGAATCAACCAGCTTGTAATTCCTTACTAGACTAGCTATTTGTTAAAAAAAGAAACACAAACTAATTGAGTTTTGGAAAGGAGTTACTATTTACACTGGGCAGGACTTTCTGTTTAAATTCTAGTTCCAAGTATGGATTCTAATTAACTCTAATTGAATTCATGTGTGCAAATATAACTCCGATTTAGCATCTATAATTGAAATTCCGACATCCCAGTTAAACTAAAAGCCCAGCAATCTAAAATTTGCAAACAAATTGGAGTCGAGTTTGCATTTTCTATGGGTTTTTATTGGTTGTTCACTCCTTTTGAGGGGCTGGACAACTAGAAGAAACACCAAACTTGTGTCTCCGTATTAAATCCTACTTGGAAAGGACGCCCTACGCTAATTCTATTTCAATATACGATTATACATTGAGTTCTAATTAAAGTATGATTTAAACTTAAAGAGTGGCAATTTAAAACTGGTAAACCATTAGAATTGTTTTTGTGTTTTCGGTTTTTCACTCCTTTTACGGGGCATGCAACTTTGCAGACACAGCAAGCTTGTCTTTCCATACTGGAATCGAGTTGAATTCAAACTCAACTCAAATGCCAAACAGGAATGAAAGAAATACGGTAAGATAATTGCAGCTACTCTTGCTTGGATGAGCAGCAGCAATTAGCAGCCTGTAACAGCAATTCGAAAGTAGGGCCGGTTGACTGATTCAGACATCGCAGCTACAAACACTCTTCAGCAAAGCTCCAGATATCAAGCCTCAAAGTCACAAACAAGTGCACTACCACAGTTGCCCCTGTCTCAATTTTACAGGACATGTTGGTATGATCCAACGAAAAGCCTTCTCCGCCTGCTCACATGTTCTTTCTCCTTACTATATTCTCATCCAAGACGCCTCCCCCAATTGCTATCACGTGGTTTGTCCAGTTGAATATTCGGTTGGTATTACCCTCTTTCCAACAATGTTCTGCGCACTTCCATGATGTATCCGCCGGAAGCGCGAGGCGCGCTTCCCCTTCTGGCCGCCCCCCGACGCCTCTCCAGTGACGCCCATCGAGCCCTGGGGCAAGCAGTTCTTTGCGGCTCGGCAATTCGATTCGTTCGTCCAGCGAAATCCGCTTAGGATCTCTTTTGCAGGGTTTGGGTTTCTCAATGCAGTGATTCCCGATATGCATCATGGAAACATGGATTGGGCATCCAATCAACTCTTTTTTTGAAACAGCTCAGACAAGTAGGAGTCTTTCTCTTGAGCACCATCCAAGGCACCCCGGGAAATGTCAGCTTTGACCTGGAAGCGAACTCAACAAGGTTGATTCCGGTCGGAATCTAGTGAAGCTTCAAATGTAAAGCAACTTCAAAAAGGTCCCATGTCTAGGCGGGGAGGACATGACACATGGACAATCAATTAACTGCCCCGCCCAATTCCGTACTCCAGCTCAGAAGTTGCCCCTCGCCGGACTTCAGGTGCTCTTGAAGTGGTCGATTTTGAACCAAAGTTCGAGAGGCTGATTCCCAGGGACAGCTTCACAACGTGGACGTGCATGGACTGCGAGGGATGTGGTTCATCATTTACCCGGGCAATCCTCGGCCCGAGTGAGGCGAGGGCTCTCTGAAAACGTTTTTAAGCCGCAGTCACAGCCCACCCCCACTTTGGCCTGTCAAAACCGGGTCCCCTTCCAAATCGTTGGTTTCGTGGTTGTTTCCGGCTTAAAAGGGGCCGAAGTCGAAACCTGGTTTTGATCGCCCTAGATAGCACAACTGTTCCAAGCTCCTGGACTTGATCAGTTTAGTGGCAAATAGTTTTGCTCTGACCAATCCATGAAGGAGTTGTAATAGATTCCTGATCACAAGAGAGAACTCGCTCTATGGGCCGGTCATTTTGCACAACAGGCAACATACATCTCAGACGTGATGGTCCTGACAGATGCATTCTTTGCTGGTGAAGCCGAGCTCGGTTTTGGACGAACTCGCTCCGATCCGCGAATGTCGCCGTGAGTCTGTCCGAGCAACCGTAGGCCCATCACTCGCCCAGTTAGACTTAGCTTCGAGGAATCCATGGCTGTCTCCATGCGCTTCTTGTCCCAGGCGTCCAAGGGCTTCGAGAACCTGGTGTCGCATGCGGCGACGCCCAAGGCCCTGCGCACACCAAAGACTCCCAAGACGCCCTTGAGCCCACCAACCCCGCTGAGCCCTATGAGCCGTCTAAGCTTCTTCCCGGAGAGCAGGGAGCGCCCCATGTTGCCAATGCCGGCTGAGCGGCGGGTCGTTCACTTTGCGGACCCGGCGCAGGGTCTGTCTGGCAATGCCAGCAGCATCCTGGGCAGGATCCACGCTGAGAAGAGCCCTTGCAGCCCCAGTTGCGGTCCTGATCTGAGATCCGCAGCTGCCACCACACGCGATGCCGTGCTGGCCAGGCGGGCTCGTCAAGAGGACCGCACCGTGACCACACCTCCAGTTGCAGCCTTTAAGCTAGAGCTGCCTTCCTTGCTGGGGCGTCGAGCATTGCCGCAGCGGGCTGCTGAGCCGCTGGAAGTTGTGGACGAAGAGTCGTGTGCGCATGCAGCCCGGAAGTCGTTCTTGGAGCAGCAGGCACGCCGAAACAGCCGTGCCATGGTGGACTTTGTGGTCTAAGGAGAGTCTGAGGCAGCAAAGTCCAAATAGTTGTTCACTCCAAGCAAGGTCTTCTTACTGCTCACTGTACAGCTTGCGAGTAGGTCATTAAGGTTGGACACGGGTGCAGACGACACCGCATGCATATGACCTATGTTTGCGCTGCTTAGGGCTGACACCGCGGCAAGAGGAGCGCAGAGACGCTTTCCAGCTGGCTGTCAGCATGTCTGGACCCAGGATGCTCAAGGCATCCTGAATCTGAAAAAGGGCGATTGCGAGATGTGGTGCACTTTCAGTCTCTGTTTTTCTTTTTAGTTTGCAAGGGATGGTTTAGAGAGAAGTAGGTGTTTTCAGGACATGTCATTCATGGTCCGGCCATGATTTCCTCAAGTGCGGTTGCCACATGCTACGGCAAGTTGCGTGACTGGTAGTGGTTGAGTGCACAGGAGGTACGGAGCATTTGGCCAGATTTGATACTGACCCGCTAATGTGTGTCGCCGTGAGTCTGTCCGAGTAACCTTAGGCCCATCACGCACCCAGTTAGACTTAGCTTCGAGGAATCCATGGCTGTCTCCATGCGCTTCTTGTCCCAGGCGTCCAAGGGCTTCGAGAACCTGGTGTCGCATGCGGCGACGCCCAAGGCCCTGCGCACACCAAAGACTCCCAAGACGCCCTTGAGCCCACCAACCCCGCTGAGCCCTATGAGCCGTCTAAGCTTCTTCCCGGAGAGCAGGGAGCGCCCCATGTTGCCAATGCCGGCTGAGCGGCGGGTCGTTCACTTTGCGGACCCGGCGCAGGGTCTGTCTGGCAATGCCAGCAGCATCCTGGGCAGGATCCACGCTGAGAAGAGCCCTTGCAGCCCCAGTTGCGGTCCTGATCTGAGATCCGCAGCTGCCACCACACGCGATGCCGTGCTGGCCAGGCGGGCTCGTCAAGAGGACCGCACCGTGACCACACCTCCAGTTGCAGCCTTTAAGCTAGAGCTGCCTTCCTTGCTGGGGCGTCGAGCATTGCCGCAGCGGGCTGCTGAGCCGCTGGAAGTTGTGGACGAAGAGTCGTGTGCGCATGCAGCCCGGAAGTCGTTCTTGGAGCAGCAGGCACGCCGAAACAGCCGTGCCATGGTGGACTTTGTGGTCTAAGGAGAGTCTGAGGCAGCAAAGTCCAAATAGTTGTTCACTCCAAGCAAGGTCTTCTTACTGCTCACTGTACAGCTTGCGAGTAGGTCATTAAGGTTGGACACGGGTGCAGACGACACCGCATGCATATGACCTATGTTTGCGCTGCTTAGGGCTGACCGCGGCAAGAGGAGCGCAGAGACGCTTTCCAGCTGGCTGTCAGCATGTCTGGACCCAGGATGCTCAAGGCACCTGAATCTGAAAAAGGGCGATTGCGAGATGTGGTGCACTTTCAGTCTCTGTTTTTCTTTTTAGTTTGCAAGGGATGGTTTAGAGAGAAGTAGGTGTTTTCAGGACATGTCATTCATGGTCCGGCCATGATTTCCTCAAGTGCGGTTGCCACATGCTACGGCAAGTTGCGTGACTGGTAGTGGTTGAGTGCACAGGAGGTACGGAGCATTTGGCCAGGTCATGCTGGATATTGTTTTTGGACAGATTTGGTGCTGACCCGCTAATGTGTGTCGCCGTGAGTCTGTCCGAGTAACCTTAGGCCCATCACTCGCCCAGTTAGACTTAGCTTCGAGGAATCCATGGCTGTCTCCATGCGCTTCTTGTCCCAGGCGTCCAAGGGCTTCGAGAACCTGGTGTCGCATGCGGCGACGCCCAAGGCCCTGCGCACACCAAAGACTCCCAAGACGCCCTTGAGCCCACCAACCCCGCTGAGCCCTATGAGCCGTCTAAGCTTCTTCCCGGAGAGCAGGGAGCGCCCCATGTTGCCAAAGCCGGCTGAGCGGCGGGTCGTTCACTTTGCGGACCCGGCGCAGGGTCTGTCTGGCAATGCCAGCAGCATCCTGGGCAGGATCCACGCTGAGAAGAGCCCTTGCAGCCCCAGTTGCGGTCCTGATCTGAGATCCGCAGCTGCCACCACACGCGATGCCGTGCTGGCCAGGCGGGCTCGTCAAGAGGACCGCACCGTGACCACACCTCCAGTTGCAGCCTTTAAGCTAGAGCTGCCTTCCTTGCTGGGGCGTCGAGCATTGCCGCAGCGGGCTGCTGAGCCGCTGGAAGTTGTGGACGAAGAGTCGTGTGCGCATGCAGCCCGGAAGTCGTTCTTGGAGCAGCAGGCACGCCGAAACAGCCGTGCCATGGTGGACTTTGTGGTCTAAGGAGAGTCTGAGGCAGCAAAGTCCAAATAGTTGTTCACTCCAAGCAAGGTCTTCTTACTGCTCACTGTACAGCTTGCGAGTAGGTCATTAAGGTTGGACACGGGTGCAGACGACACCGCATGCATATTACCTATGTTTGCGCTGCTTAGGGCTGACAGCGGCAAGAGGAGCGCAGAGACGCTTTCCAGCTGGCTGTCAGCATGTCTGGACCCAGGATGCTCAAGGCATCCTGAATCTGCAAAAGGGCGATTGCGAGATGTGTTGCACTTTCAGTCTCTGTTTTTCTTTTTAGTTTGCAAGGGATGGCTTAGAGAGAAGTAGGTGTTTTCAGGACATGTCATTCATGGTCCGGCCATGATTTCCTCAAGTGCGGTTGGCACATGCCACCGCAAGTTGCGTGACTGGTAGTGGTTGAGTGCACAGGAGGTACGGAGCATTTGGCCAGGTCATGCTGGATATTGTTTTTGGACAGATTTGGTGCTGACCCGCTAATGTGTGTCGCCGTGAGTCTGTCCGAGTAACCTTAGGCCCATCACTCGCCCAGTTAGACTTAGCTTCGAGGAATCCATGGCTGTCTCCATGCGCTTCTTGTCCCAGGCGTCCAAAGGCTTCGAGAACCTGGTGTCGCATGCGGCGACGCCCAAGGCCCTGCGCACACCAAAGACTCCCAAGACGCCCTTGAGCCCACCAACCCCGCTGAGCCCTATGAGCCGTCTAAGCTTCTTCCCGGAGAGCAGGGAGCGCCCCATGTTGCCAAAGCCGGCTGAGCGGCGGGTCGTTCACTTTGCGGACCCGGCGCAGGGTCTGTCTGGCAATGCCAGCAGCATCCTGGGCAGGATCCACGCTGAGAAGAGCCCTTGCAGCCCCAGTTGCGGTCCTGATCTGAGATCCGCAGCTGCCACCACACGCGATGCCGTGCTGGCCAGGCGGGCTCGTCAAGAGGACCGCACCGTGACCACACCTCCAGTTGCAGCCTTTAAGCTAGAGCTGCCTTCCTTGCTGGGGCGTCGAGCATTGCCGCAGCGGGCTGCTGAGCCGCTGGAAGTTGTGGACGAAGAGTCGTGTGCGCATGCAGCCCAGAAGTCGTTCTTGGAGCAGCAGGCACGCCGAAACAGCCGTGCCATGGTGGACTTTGTGGTCTAAGGAGAGTCTGAGGCAGCAAAGTCCAAATAGTTGTTCACTCCAAGCAAGGTCTTCTTACTGCTCACTGTACAGCTTGCGAGTAGGTCATTAAGGTTGGACACGGGTGCAGACGACACCGCATGCATATTACCTATGTTTGCGCTGCTTAGGGCTGACAGCGGCAAGAGGAGCGCAGAGACGCTTTCCAGCTGGCTGTCAGCATGTCTGGACCCAGGATGCTCAAGGCATCCTGAATCTGCAAAAGGGCGATGGCGGGATTCGCTTGGCTTTCCCCCCCCTGTTTTTGTTCTTTCTTTCTTTCATTCTTTCTTTCTTTCTTTTGTTCTTTCTTTCTTTCTTTTTTTGTTCTGTAGCGTTTGTTTGCGCGGTGGTGTTTTGCAGACCGAAGTTGGCAAGTGATACTATGCGCAACGGTCAAATGGAAACTGGGCTCTACTGGTTAACGCAGTGTCTTTTTACAACCGTATCGGCAAAAGATATGGTCTGGAGGTATGAACTTTCAACTTGTCCACGGCAAAGCGGATTCAGCCAGGCAGACTTCCGACTCATAGCTCCTCGCACGTCCCCGTCTTTTTAAGGCTCAGGGACCGACCGACACGCAGCGCCAGCAGTTTTATTGCGCCCTCTCTGAAAGCGATGGCGGTGTCCATGCGGTTCCTGGCACAGGCATCGAAGAACTGTGGCTGGAGCAGGGGGAGGGGGGAAAGGGGTTGCCCTATGATTCTGAAAAGCCACCCAATAAATTCAGTCGTTGCATGATATACCAATCATTTAAAAGCGTTACCCATGCTAGAATAATGTGTTTGCCCTTTAGCCAAGTTCATAGCCAAGTTCATGTTGGTTTACCCCATCGCACGTCCTCCCCTGCAGCAGGGACTTTAAGCATCTCTTTGTTGGTTTGGACAGCAGGTTGTCGGTCCAAATTACCTTGGGAATCCCGACCAAGTCTGAGCAGCTGACAAGTCCACCATTCCTCAAGGTTTTGCTGGGTTCCATGCTGGTGGAAACACTGGTGTTTGGTTCTGATCCTTCCTACAATCTTTTAGTCGGGCAAAGATGCGAGATGTCAAGCGACATTGTACCTGTTTGAAGTTTGTGTTTAGGTTAAAGGGCAAACCACCCGTGTTCGTGGCTCCCTCAAAGCCCTAACAAACCCATGAGCCATGGCAAATATGTGGCTTGACGGACAAAATGAACCGTAGACTGCGGTGTGTGTTGCCCTCCAAAATCAAATCCAAAACAGAGTGGGCAACCGAAGCCTTCCCCCCCCCCACTAGAAACCTAAATGAGCAGCCTCGAAATCCCCATTCGCCACTTTAGTTTTTAAATGGTCCGACTATGGGGTTTATAGTAAGGCCTTTGGCGCCGGTCATAGGCCTTTGAAGCCGAGCTGACGGGCAATCCATCCTTGCCTTGGGATACTTGAAAAGGGTCTGTGTCGTTTGCCACCCAGTTTTGGATCCTATGGTGAACTGCGGAAGGGACACGGTTTTGCCCACCCACCAGGGGTGTTTTTTTTTGTTGGTGCTTTCCCTTTGAACCTGAAAAGGATTCCGAGCGCGAAATCACGGGCCCGAAAGCCTTTCCAAGCATTTTGGGCAAGCGAGGTCCATGTAAACACCGCGAATCGCAGGTAGGGTGAGAAGGGTCCTTTGGGGAGAAAGCATGCAGGGTATGTTTTCGGGGTATGGGTCCGTCTGCAAGTAGGGGCACCTCCCACAATTGTACGGTTTTCCTCGTGGTTTCCTTCTAAAATCGCACCAAAACGAGTACCCTCAACAAAAAGACTTATCTTCCCTATCTGGTCCGGGGTTGGGGATCGAAGGAGCACGAACAGGGTTGCTCCTGCCATTCCTACGATGAGCAAAGAGTTGGCTGGTTTCCTTTTGCTCCTGAACACCCTTTTGCTTGTTTTTTAGGTCTTGCGCTTTCCTATGGCTCCTTTTCCCCCTGTTTCATTAGATGGTCCCGGTTAGTTAAGTAGGCCAAGGTTGCGAACTATTTGGCCCAATTCCTGGGCCATCTTAAGGGCATCTCCAAGGAGTGTTGGAGTTATGGAGGTAGCCTTACCAGCTTGTATGGTGGAATGTAAGCTTCCATACCTTCAATACCTATACCTCAACATGCGATCGTTATTTTTTCCCGAACCTCGGGGCAACTCCGAACATGAGCATCGGTGAAGCGGTTGAAAGCAGCATCTGCTTGGCGAATGTAAGGTGAACCTGAAAAGCATGTCCACCTTTTCAACAGTTTTCGGTTTCCCCGGCGTGACGGATCATCCAGATGCGGAAAGCAAAAGGTCAGCTGTTCGCACGAGTACCCCTGATTGTTGTGCAAACCAGGAGCCCCCTTGCAAGGGACATTTCAAATTCAAAGGAGGCAGTTTACAGGACAAATTCCCGGAACCCCAAAACTGCCACACTCCCCCATCAAGGAGGAAGGTTTGGACCCTGGACCTTGCTTAGTGGATTTGCGAGGTCGACGCCGAAAAGGTGGCCTACCCAGGCTTCTGGTTGTAACCTAAAAACAGGGCAGCTGTTCAATGTCAATCTTCCTTCTGCCAGCTGGATCACGTGGTTTCTGGTGTGGCGAATTGGGAACATTGGGGGATCCCCGGCCCCATTTTGAACAACAGCAAACAGAAATTCGGGTGTATACCCTCCATAGTGCTACACAGTGGTTGTATTCTCCAATGACCCGAGGAGTCGTGGTTTGGGTAGTGGAAACCATCTTCGATTTGGACAGTCTAAGTTTCTACAGAAAAAAAGCAAAGAACATCATTGCCCCACCCGACATGGCAGAATCCAAGCCATGTGGACAATCTCTGCCCAGCAAAGCCCGGCAAGACTTGGTCAACACCGAGGGGCGACTCAGGAGTTTCGAGAGCCTGGTGCACGCCAGCCCCAAAGCCATCCGCAGCCCGAAGACGCCGCCGCCCGGCGATGTCTTTGTTTTTTTTTTGGGGAGGGGGGTGGGGTGGGGGTTCCGGGGGGAAGGGGGGGGAGGGGGGGGGGGGGGTGGGGGGGAGGGGGGTGGGGTCCATGAGAAGAATTCCCTAAGTGGAGTCTTCGGGGACGCGAGCCCGACAGGAAGAGCCCCTCGAGCCCTCTGAGCCCTCTGAGCCGCGGACTCAGCTTCTTCCCGGAGGAAAGGCTCGAGGAGCTCGGAGAGCGATCGAATCGGGTGAAGCGCAGGTGAGTACATTGAGCCTCATAGTATCTCTGTTGTTTTTCTCCAGCTTGGTCTACTGTTTGTTCATTCCATTTTTTTGCTCAGACAATGGCCAGGGGGATGGTGTATAGTTTCTCCTGAAATCGATGGGTGATAGAATGATTAGGATCACCAGTGTCCTTCTGGTTCTAGTTTGGGTGAAGCTAAATGGATTTAACACTTTACGTTGGTTCTAGTCATTTGCCAGTGTCAGCTATTCTCCCTAGTGGGTCAGCCTTCTTTTCAGAAGCCACAAGGTTACCTGGGTAGAGCGAGGTCAACCATAGCTCTCTTACTTGGAGATTCCTTAGGTCAGGTTTGTGGATTTTCTAGTAATTTGCCCAGCACTACGTTGTTGTTTTTTTTTTTTTTTGGGGGGGGGGGTGCACATATTTAGGCCATCCACAGTAGGTGAAAGGAACTTCTTGGGGTTTGTCAGGAGAAGCGCGTGCAGAGCTCCAAGCGCTCGGTGCACTTTGACCGCCCGGCAAGTTCGTCTGCGTCTTTGTCAGGGAACGCCAGCAGTTTGCTGAGCAGGCGGGGCATTTCGTTTTTCGGCGCCAGACCTACTGATGGACAAGTTGGCTTATTTAATGGCCTGCGGCCTGGTTCCGCCGCCCCCACACACCTTAGAATTTCGGCCCGGGACGAGAGAAAGCACGCGATATGTAGACAGACACAGACAGACACAAAGACACGCAGACAGACACGCAGCGGGGGGGGAGGGTCTTCGCGGACACGAAGACAGACGCAGATGCGCAGGCAGACGCAGACAGAGCCAGACAGACACAAAGACACGCGGGGGGGGGGGACACGAAGAAAGACGCAGATACGTAGACAGACACAGACAGACACAGACAGACACAAAGAGACAGAGACAGACACGCAAGGGGTCTTCGCGGACACGAAGACAGACGCAGACAGACCCAGACAGACACAAAGAGACACAGACAGACACGCAGGGGCAGGGGGGGTCTTCGCGGACACGAAGACAGATGCAGATACGTAGACAGACATAGACAGACACAGGGGGGGGCGGAGGGGTGGGGGAAGACTACCCGAAGCCTAGGGAAGAAGCCCGAAAGCACAGGACACGCGCGTTGTTTGGTCCCGAAACAGTATCGGAAGACTAGGAGAAGAAGCCGGAAAGATTGCGGAAATTTACGGGAAGAAGCTTGAAAGATTTCGGAAGACTACGGGAAGAAGCTGGAAGACTACGGAAGACTACGGAAGACTACGGGAAGAAGCCGGAAGACTACGGAAGACTACGGAAGACTACTGGAAGAAGCCGAAAGATTACGGAAGATTACGGGAAGAAGGCGGAAGACCACGGAAGACTACGGGAAGAAGCCGGAAGACTACGGAAGATTACGGGAAGAAGCCGAAAGATTACGAAAGATTACTGGAAGAAGCCGGAAGACTACGGAAGACTACGGGAAGAAGCCGGAACACTACGGAAGACTACGGAAGGACTGGGGGGGGGGAGGTGGGGGAGGGGGGGGGAGGGGTGGGGAAATCCAGAATTCCTGAAATCCAGAAATCCAGAGATCCAGAAATCCAGAAATCCAGAAATCCAGCCGACGTAGAAACCAGCCCCAAGGGCCGCCCCAAGGGACATATAGGTTATATATATATATATACATAATCATATTCACATTAAACTTATAGAAAGCATATCAACAAAAGCAACACAGAACACACCGCCCCCATGCCGAAAGCATGGTCCATTCTGGACCAGGCATGGGGTCGGCGGATTCATGGGGGAATTCGTCCAGCCACATGTCACTCATGCTCGTGGTTCTCTGGGAACTCAATAGGCTATGGGTCAAGATCCCGTACCGCCAGTGAACATCCCAATCCCCACTAAAATAGACTAAAATGGGTGGTGCACCTACCCCAAAATGGTACCATTGGTTTTGACCCACAGCCAATAAACCGTCGAAAGCCCGATCGACCTTTGCTCTTTGGCACTCTGTTTGCCCTCTGCGTTGGCCTGTTTATCCTTGCATCCTCTAGGTTTTTGGGTGAGGGTCACCTCTGCTTCCTCACACAGGGGGTCCCAATTGGTTGCTTTTTGGCGGGGTGCTTGATGAAAAAAACAGGCGTTGGTTTTGTTTGTCAGGTCAATCATAGGCTCGTTGCTTTGCACTCTTGTAACATTTTGGTGCTTTTTTGGCCAACTTTGTGTGGAATTTCCAGCAACTGGTTTCTTGCAGGGAAATGAGAGAATGACCCTGGACTGAACCATCCCTCGCAGTTTCCTTTAAGGTGATCCCTAGGCTAATTCCCAAATCCCTCAAACGATTCCCTACTGAGAACAAGCAAGTTCACTATTGGATGGGGGTTCAAGTGCTCACTCTTTCGTTTGATCTTGGACCATGTTGGCAGAAGACCAACTTTTCTGGAAGTTTGTTTTCCCCACATAGCAAACATTGCCACCTTTCACCACGGGGTTAGTTGGCCCATTCCCCACCCTATTTTGTAACTTTAAACATTACCTCCTGGCTTTTCGTGGAAGAGGAAACCTGGCTAAACCTTTTTCTTTCCCCGTCTTGGGCAGGGGACCCGTTTTGGCAGTGCCAGCTTTCAAACGAAGCCAAAGGGACGGGCGCCCAATCCCGCATCTTGCGCACAAAAGGACCGCCATTGGGGCCTGGATTTCTGTTGCCCAGTGGCGCCCTTTTTCTTGCTTTTTTGGGTGAGGGTTCCCCTTTAAACTCGGGATGTGGGCTCCATACTCCGATTGGGGTGGGGTCTTGAGCAATGTGGCGGAACGAAGCCAAAAAGGAATGCCCCGTTTTGTTCCATGGCCACTGGGCATCTGAGTGGAAGGTTGGAACCTGTCGGCAGGTTCCTGGGCCGCGCCGCCGGCCCCAGCCCCGACGCTTCCCCGGTGGAAGCCGCCCGGCCGAGCGCGGCGGAAGCCACGCGCAGGGCGGTGCGCGAGCGGCTGGCGCGGCAGGAGGACAGCAAGCTATTGTGGGAAACAGTGAATTATTACAAGGGGTCCTGGCTCCCTTACTCTCACAAGTAAACCGAATGTAGGTTGCTGCTTTCATTGATACAGCCTTCATGGGCAAGTCCAGGAATCAACTTTGGTGTCACAGAAAGGATTAATATTTCAGAGGCCACACGTATGACACCGCAGGCTTGTGGAATGAAGTCGACCCTCTGGAGAGGGCGAAGAGTTGGGATGTTCCCCCAAATTGATCTGCCAAACTTGTCCCACAATTCAGGTAACCATCAGTTGGTTTGGATTGGTGGTTTGGGGATTTGAACCGGGGTTAATGGGCACCCCCTCCATTTCACCACCACACCACCGGGCTCCAAACCAGCTGGCTGTGGGTCAACAATCGGTACAACAAATGGAACCCTGGTAAGTGGAAACATGGATGACCAAAACCTGCGGTCTGGTGGTTTAATTTTGACCCATACCCGGCTGAAAAAGCGGGACCCTCAGGATCATAGGGGTCCTTCTTGGTTTGCTCAAAAAAATCGAGGGCCCCGGTTTAGATGGTTTCTTCCATTTACCGGGGCAACCCATCGATTTCTCCAAAAGGCCGGGACCCCCAGGATCGCGGCGTGGTCCCCAAGGCGAAGATGGAGATAGCGCCGCTGCCGGTGCTGCTGGGCTCCCAGCCGGTTCCGGCCTCGGGTTTCGGCGCGGGCGCGCAGGACGGGAAGCGCCCAAGGGAGCTGTTTGAGGGGAAAAGCCGGGGTCTCCAAGTTCCAAACTTCTTTTTTTTCAAAAAAAGGGGTTGACTAGATGACTAGATTTGCAGCAACCTGTTTTATCTAGGGTCAAGAGTCAAGATATGAAGCATGAAGTCAGAACATACCCTTCAGTGAGCCAAGAAGGACTCCTGTGCCGTGGCAGCTCGGCGGGCGTTCCTGGCGTACCAGGCGGGGAGGTGGGTTACGGTGGTTTCTGGAGGCAGGGGTCCGAGGCTCGGAGCTCCGAGGAAGGCAAGTTCAGCAACCAGCGGTCACATTGAGCCCCCAAAAACCAGTTCCTATTGGCCGTTTTAGTAGGTGGTTCTGGTCTGCTGGCCTTCCCGTCCTTGTAGAACCAAAGGTCAATGGCTATTGGGCACTCACATGAGGTTGGCAGTGGGGACTTTGGGCAAACGGCAAACCTCGTACATAGTTTCTGAGATTGAACCTGTGGGGTTGAATGATGCACAAGAATCACCAGATAGGGGGCAGATGTTGTCGTTGATTCTCTAAAAGTTGATTGCAGTTTTAAGTAGGCATTGTTTGTTGGGAACTGCCCAGGACGAGCAGGGCCGGCGAAAACAAACATCTTTCTATTTGAGCTGCGGAGTTTTCGGGTTGAATATGAAGATGGACAACCTTTATCAGTTTAGAGCTCCTTGGTGGTCTATGCATTTTCAACCATTATTCCCACTCAGTATGCATTTATTGTGTGAGGAACAACTTTTGATGACAGACCAGATCATGTTGATACTTATTGCAGCAATCTCTTCTACTACACTAGCGGTCTGGACAAAGCTTCCAGGGTTGCACAGACCCCTGGGCCGTAGCCTTAGCCAGGAGCGCCGCGCGAGCCGCGCTATGACCAACTTCGTGGTATGAGCGATGCGAGCGAAGACTGCTTCAGAGCCAGAGGCATTGCAACTTGTGCCAATGCGAGTGGTTTCCTGGTGACAAGTGAGTCAACGTGACTAGCTGACTTTCGAGTGACCATAAGTGAGCATAGGTCACTAGGCGCCAAGGACCATTAAAGCCGCAACCCAAACATGATTGCCTTGCTATGGCTCTGAATCATTTAGAAGCATGCCGCAGCCGCCCTTCCGCTGGAAGGGCTAGCGTGGAAGCGGCGCGCGTTGGGTTTCTTTGGGGAGTGGGGGGGGGGGGGGGGGTGGGAAGGATTGGTTAGTCTTCAAGGCAAACTTAAAGGCAACCCAGGTCCCTAGTTTGTTTCTTTCTCTTTGTGTGTATGTGTGTCTCTGTGTGTGTGTGTGGGTAAGTTGGAGTTGTGTTAGGACCCATGCCCTCTTTGTGTGTTGAAAAGAAACCACAAGGGGAAGCTAGGGCCCCTTGTTTTTCGACAGCATAGACGAGTTTGCATGCCCTGTAAATACGGGCAATGCACTGTGCCCTGGGGTCCCGGTAGTGAGTTGGGGGGCGCCATTTTCGATACAAACGCCACATTTGAGGCCACATTTGGGCTCATTTGGCCCACAACAGAACCAAGCCTTGCCGTGGGGGGCTTCTAGGGTCCCTCAACAGAAACAAACGCCCAAACCGGCAGACACCGACATAGACACAGGTTGAAACGAGTTTTTTGCATAGGGTCCCCAAACAGAATCGCTCCCACTGTTTCAAGCTTCGGAACTCTGCGAGCTTGAGCCCTCGCGAGAAGTTCGGGGGCCAGCGCATCGCGCGCATGAGGCATGCTGTGCGTCCCAAGCCACAAGACAGTTGTGTGCCTTTGTTGAGGGTACCCTTGTTCGGGTTGTTGAAAAGGGCAGTTACGGGAACCCCATGGTTTTCGTTGGTTGCAAGTCCTATTTTAAGCCAAAGCTATGGTGAGCTTTCCTGGAAACCCGAGGCGAACCAGCATCATGAAGACTTAGGGAACTTAGAGAACCACAAGAGCTCCTGGGTGACCCAAACCCAAGGCTTATGGCGCATGTCCATCCTAAGCCCAGCCAATGGTTGACGCAGAGCCAGCCCAGTCACATCCTTTTACGCGTGAGACGCGTGCGCCTATACATTTGAACGCCAAAGGCGTGTGCCACAGTGTCAGACTTCAGTTTGGAGTTGGAAGGCATTTCGGCTTCAGCGCAGAATTGTTTGCGCTTAAGCGAACTGAAATCGAGCAACCTTCGAGAGGCATCCTTCCGGATTGCTGGTTTTAAACATCACCTTTTTTAAACATCACTTCTGTTTTTAAACATCACTTTTTTTCCCATTGAAGGCGAGTTTCCCTTCATAGGAGAGATGTGCGAAGGAGTAAACTATTCCTTGTTTGTGAACAAAACACCAGCCGTGTCCAGCGTGTGTCGCAGCAACCCTGATGAAGATGGTGCAGCACAGCTTGAGGATAGCCTTGGATGCAGTGTGACAAACGTTGCCCAGACAAATTATTACCGGTTGTCAAATATAATCATAGAGGCCAAGGGGTTGTCGACACGCCTAGGTCCTGTCCTCTTTTGGGACACAGTTCGATTTTTTTGTTTGCTTCGTTTAAAGGGGCCCCCAAGAGAATCATCGTACTAACCCCACATGGCCAACGTCGTCCGAGTCCTTTCAACATCGACTGCAATCCATTTCCGTGCAGGTCCCTACCCTAGTCAGTAACGCGGGGCGGTAGAACGAGCTGGTCCGGTTTCGATTTGATTCAGTTCGGCGAGAAGGTTGAGCCCTGAACAACCCCCTACTGATTATTAAGTGGGGCCCTTATTAGTGAGGGGGCCCCGTATCAATATTCAGGGGGTTTATTGATCATGTGCGAGCTAATCAATGGTACTCGCCATTTGTGCAGATGGACTGACGGAGATGTTGCAGCATCAAACACCTGATCAATACCAGGGTATGCGTCAAAATCAGGGGGACCCGAAAAAGAATCAGGTCGCTTTTCTTTTGGTTTCCCGTAGAACAAAGCTAAAATTGTGTACACCCACCAGTACCAAGCCGGCTATTCAACTGGCTCCAGTCCTTGCTGACCCTGTGGCTTCAATCCGGCCTGTCCGGGCCTCTCAAGGGGCGGCGAACGAGCTTGCGAGCTTGCACCCGCAAACGTCCGCTGAAGGCAGTGTACTTAAGTAGTTAGCAACTTTGGTTATAGCCCACTTGTACCTCTTGCAAGTCCAAAATACATGCTCTTGAACCAGAGCTACGACCCACTTTGGAGGCACCTCACTGCCTAAGCAAGTCCGCCTCATGTAAAGCTTTCGGGCGGACATACGTGCCGAGTTGGTTGGACACACCCGCGCTGTGGTCATGTCAATTTGGCGGTAGCAACACGCATTGGTGTTTCTATTTTGTGCGCAATCTTGGGTTGGGACGGCCCTAACAGTCACGCTTTCTGGAAATCCATCTAAGTGTCTATCCAAAATCCGCATGCAGCGGTCGGGGTTGCAACCAACAAAGTCAATGCATGCAAGCGATTCGGGACACTTGTTCAGGTTTATATACTTCCCCTGGCAGGTTTGATCTTGCCCCTGCAGAACCTTCCGAGCTTTGAGTGTTTCAACTTGACCCTTTGGAACAACTCTGTGGCATTTGTTTCAGCCAAGCTTCTGTATTCCTCCTTTTTGCCTGGTTGTAGCATCCTGTATGGCAAGCCAGCATCATTCTCGCCGCCCATTCCAGCGGCAAATGTTTGCTCTTCACAAAGCGCATGGCCAGGTGTCGACAACCCGTGCTGCCCTAAACTCGGGAGCGCACAAGAAAAACTCGGAGCCCAAAGGCACGTTTGCTTCGGCCGGGCGATGCAGATTGTAGATGGCTCAAATTCCATGAGTGAGCAAGTTGACCTCTGTGAGCAGTACAAGGTTCAAAGCACTGCGTGTTTGAGCGGCATTCACCCGGCCACTCGCACATCCCCTGCTTAGGGCCACGCCGGGGTGGGTCGCTCACAGCCCGAACTCGCGGCCCGGCGTGCGCTTTTCGGCCCGGGCGGCGCTTTGAATTGCGCCCGGTTGAAGGAAAACGGGCGACGGATCCCAGTGTCTATGGGGAACTAGGGCTTTCTGCGGTGCATGCCCTGAATTCTTGAAGCCGTTTCCCTTTTCCCTGCTTGAACATAACTTAAGCAGCCGTCGGTTCCCCACTGCAATGGTCAGTGTTTCCGGGGAATGAGAGGAAAGGGCGGTGCGAGCCTCGAAGTTTAGGGCAAATGAACTCGTGACCTGAAGGGTTTCAAGCTCAACCAAATCAGTGTCAGGGTCCAGGATCAAGGGCTGACGCATATCAAGCGCCCCCATTTTCTCTTTTTGAAGGGGGGTGACCTGCATGCCCTGAGTGTGCAAGCCCGGTGTTAAAATAGGTTTCGGACCTCAAACACAGTAAAATCCCTTTGGTTTCAACCACCAAAAAATCCCAAACAAACTACCAACTCAAAAAACACACACGCATGGCAGGTGCAATTTTGGGACGCTGAGGTCTACAACGCCCCAGAGGGGACAGAGATCCATGGGGACCCCCGTGCCAGGGCGCCCAAGCAAGCGCCCGCGTCCCGTTGCCATTTTGGGTATGGAAGCCATCCGAGCCAGTCCACAACACGGGACCCAATAATTTGGGGCTTCAAGCTTGGCTTCCCCCCGAAGTCGCGGGCTGAATTTCGTGTCCCCGCCTCTGGCCTCGCGCGTTTCGAAAATCCCAAGGCGCCGAGCCTTGATGAGCTCAAGCCGCAGTGGGTGCGGGACGAGGCGGGTCGGTCCAAAGGGCAGAGGAGGCAGGGGACGGGGGGACTTGCCTTGATACCTTCAACAATGGGCATGTGTGAAAATAGGAAGACCTCGTTCAGTGAACAACCTCTGATTTTTTGCGGCTGCTCCTTATGTATCAGATCAAATCGCAACTTTGTTCAACTTCGAAATAGATACCCTTATTCTCATTGCTCTTTGTTGGCGTCGTAGGCAGATCTGCTCAAATACGTCGAACTGACATGTCTGCTTGGTTGTAAGCTATGTTCGATCTGCAGACGGTTTCCACCAATACACCAAGCACAGGAGAAGCTAGCCGAACTAAAGATCATGTTTTTTAATCATTAGCATATTGAAATAATAACTTTATGCAGCCATGGTTAATTCCACGATTGCTAGACCTTAATCGCTATGTAAATATTTCATAATTATCACAACGACAAACACTTACTAAAAGGCTGTCGATTTACTTCGCTTTCATCATCATCATCATCATCATCATCATCATCATCATCATCATCATCATCATCATCAGCAGCAGCAGCAGCATCAGCATCAGCATCAGCATCAGCATCAGCAGCAGCAGCATCAGCATCAGTATCAGCATCAGCATCAGCATCATTGTCATCGTCATCGTCATCGTCATCGTCATCGTCATCGTCATCGTCATCATCATCATCATCATCATCATCATCATCATCATCATCATCATCATCATCATCATCATCATCATCATCATCATCATCATCATCATCATCATCTTGGGTTCTTTTGGTGAAGGAGTTTCCGACGCCGACCCCCCAACATGTTGACAAGGGTAACCATCAAACAAAACATACCCAAATGGTGCTGGTTTCTCATGCAACCATTGTCAACCATCGAGACTCGATCATTTCCGTCGCCGTTTTCATTCTTCGGAGGATGCCTACTCCATGCTCCAGGGTGAGGACCGGGTTGGTCGAGACCCATTGACTGGTAATTTCATGAGCCCCAGTTGCTCAGTGGCATTTTCTTCTTCGGGGGGGGGGGCGGGGGTTTCCCTTTAAAGTTAACCAACAAACAGGGTGACCTGCCCGCCAGCGCCACTGAGCTTCGGAGTACACCCAATGCCTTCATGGACGCTCTCCTTTAAAGCTACCCTGTTGGAAAAATAGTCTGGCCCTTAAAGGTTTGTTGGATTCCCAGCAACCTCCTTGCGCT